TAAACTAAACTAACTTTATTTATACTGGATAGCTCTATCAGTTCTAAACTGTTCTTCCTGGAGGTCCAGTAATGATCGTCTCTTATTCATCCAGTGTTATTACAGGAGGAAACTTAAACTAAACTAACTTTATTTATACTGGATAGCTCTACCAGTTCTAAACTGATAAAGCTTTGTTGGTATACAGCGGTATTTAGCTAGCATCTTCATATTGTCGTACCTCCATCAAGTCAGAATTAAGACTCTTAATCTTGGCGTCTTTTTCCGCCAACGTTTCCTTCATTGTGGCAAGTTCCATCAAAATTGTGTTCTCACGTTCTTCAACTTCGTTCTCGCGTCTCTTCATCTCGTTCTCCATGAGCACCAACTGTTTCCTTTGCAACGAAATATCTTCCTCTACGCCTTGCACCTTTTTCTCTTTCCATTCAACCTAGAAATACAAGATCCTGATAAATTATGGTGTTGTGATTAGTGGATATATCCTTCACCTTTATGACTGGTATTCGATTTTTGCATGCGCAATATGCAGTGGCCTTGCAGTTAGCTTCAAGCCTGAGGCCGTATAAAAAAGTGATTAAAGTTAACTATAGTTAGTGGAAACGTCATCCAATAAGAAGCGCGTATTTGAGAGTTAATCACTATTTAACTACAAAATAGTGATTAAAAAAGTGATTAAGAGTTTTACACAACCGGCCCCAGGTTTATACTATCAAAGTTTCTGTGATCACAGTAGGAATCTTGCATGGGTAAATATTCTAAGATTTGAAGGATTTGTAAGAAATGTTTGAGGAACTGATTTAGTGTTACAATCCGAGTCAGTTCCCACAAATATTTCTTACAAATCTTTCTAAACTTAGAGTTTACCCATGCAAAATTCCTACTGTGATCACAGAAACTTTCATAGTGTAAACCAACCTAAAGTTTTGTGGCATTAAATGTGTCGTTGTTGATCAAATTGTTTCATTGTCTTTCATTGTTTTGAAAATCACTCCAAGTTAGTTTACCTCTTTTCTTACATCATCCTTTTCTCGCTTGTGTCGTTTTATCTCTTTGTCTTTTTGATCGATAGTCTTGCAGTGTTGATCAATCTGGTCTTTGAGATTCTGTACTAGCTTATCTTTCTCATTCACCTGGCGCTCATACGACTCCAGGTCATACATTTGAGATTCCAAGAGGATCTGTTAGAAATAATGCATATTCAAACAACCACACATGTAAAAATCTCACAACTTGTCAACAAGATGTGTTCGTAGCAGGCTTGTAGCAAGCTTGTCAACAAGTCGGTAACGATGCTGTTATTTTATCAAGTTGCTACAAGGTTGTCACCCACAAGTTGTTGACAAATTGTTGAATCGCAGGACAATAACAAGTTGTTGGAACAACTTGTAACAAGTCTGTTGAGCTCAGCAACCTTGTAGCATTATATAACGATAAGCCGTTGACAACTTGTCAACAAGCTGGGAACAAGCAGTGCGAACACATCCTGTTGACAAGTTGTTGGAACAGCATTGCTACAAGTCTGCTGCAGGTTTGTTACAACTTGTGCGTTTTAACGTGCGTAGAAGACAATATCACCTTCTGTTCCTCCATGACTTTCTGCAAGTTGGCCAACTGATCATCTTTGAAACTGATCTGTGTTCGTAGATCACTGTTCAGAGCTTCCAACTTCGTAACCTATCACAGTAGCAATAATAATAAATAGAAATTGAGGAATATACTTTTAATGCTCTTGCTGCTATAACTGTCAACATTCCTAAAATTGACGATCTGCCCCCTGTTACAGTCCTTGAAAGACAATAATTTGCTGATCTTTATAGTAAACTATTTCTAAATTGTTTACACGCAAACCTCATATTCCTTATCTTCCAAAGTGCTTGATATAAACTGTAAATCTTCGCTTGCTTTCTTCAAATATTCCAATTCTTCTTCCTTGCTTTCCAAACTATTCTTGACGAGATTTAATTCAGCTCGCAACTCTCTGATCATTCCCTCCTTCGTCTCCAACTCTCGGCGGATTTCATCCACATTATTCCTCGCCAATTCAGACCTCAAATCATTTACAAGAAGAGCGAGGCTTGCTATCTTCTCTTTTTGACTTTCAGCGTCCTCGTCTTTCTCTTCTAAACTTTTATCTAACTCTGCTGCTCGCTCTAGTGCTTCTTCAGCGTTTACTTTGAAGTCGTTCATGACTTTGTCTTTAAGCCAAACTTTCTCTTGAAATTCTTTCAAAGTCTGAACGGGAAGACAACGTTGTTAAGCATATGAATCGTGATGATATCGATATGAATCGTGATTTGTGATACAAGTTCTGAAGAATTTGTAAAAAATCTTTGAGGGAAATATCTTTCAACAAGAACAACTTATAATTGGACATAAGTATACAACACATCGGTGAAAATATATTGCCCGGAGAAGCAGGGGACTCCATCATACAGTGCCTAGGAGTCTCAATTCAAGTAAGCGTGGAGTTTTTGCAAGACATTGTCCAAGTTTAGAAATGATTGATTGCATTCATTGATTGTAATTACCAAATTAATTATTGATGACACGGTGAAGGATTATGATTGAATTCATCCTGGTTTACACAACCAAAGTTTCTGTGATAACAGTAGGAATTTTGCATCAGTAAATTGTTTTGAAGAATTTGTAAGAAATATACTGACTCGATGTTGATTAGCATTGGGCTGGTATTCCAAAGGTCGTAGTTTCTATTCCCACCGTAACCAGGCATATTTTTCAAAACTTGCCCAGTGTGGATATACACTCAGAGTAACATCACAAGCATCATATTCACCTGAGTATATTACACCAACACACAAAAAATAATGTTAAAGAAGTAGAAATAAATTAATGAAAAACTCGCCTTTTCCTTTTCTTGTAGTTCATTTTCCTTTTCTTCCATTCTGTCCTTCATCCTGTTATGCATCTCAGTCAGTTCTCGATACTTCCTCTCCAGATCTTTAAAATGTCTGTTCTGTCGAGAATATTGATGTAGTTTCACGCGTAGTTCCTCTTTGGTCTCCGCTAACTCCCGCTTGGCTTGTTCGTGCTTCACTTTGATTTCATCGTAGCCTGAAATGAAGAAATTAAAGAAATTTATTGAGACTTGAGCCTAGTTTACACTATAAAAGTTTCTGTGGTCACAATAGGAATTTTCCATGGGTAAATTTACAGTAGATTTACAGTTCATAATAAGCACTTTGGAAGCTAAGGAATACGAGGTTTGCATCTATACAATTTAGAAATATTTGTACTAAATACTGGCTGGGTTACACTATCAAAGTTTCTATGATCACAGTAGGAATTTTGCATGGGTAAATTCTAAGTTTTGAAGGATTTGTAAGAGAAGTTTGAGGGAACTGAATCACTGTTAAACACTAAGTCAGTTTCCTCAAGCATTTCTTACAAATCCTTCAAAAGTTAGAATTTACCCATGCAAAATTCCTACTGTGATCATAGAAACTTTGATAGTGTCAACCAGACTTAAAATAGTGCAAATTTGGTCCCCTGTGAACCCGATCTTAAAATCACAACCTCACCTCTGCGATATTCATCGAATTTCTCTTTCATTTTATCGTGATCTTCTTTGAACTTTGTCGCTGCTTTTCTTTCTTTGTCCACCTGAGACTTGGCCTCCACTGCTTCCTTCTTCTGTTCCTCCACCTTGCCCTGAGCTTGTTCCTGTTCACTTTTCATGTTCTTCAGTTGCATTTTAACATCGCTCAGAAGTCGCTTGCTCACGTCAGCGTCTCTCTTCGTTCGCTGAAAATCTTGTCTGCGGAAACAAACACGAGTTACATTAGACTAGAAAATTCTCTTGTTGGTAAAATAGCTTATGTCAGGCAGATAACCGATATATTGGAGCTAATTAACCGAAACTAAACTAACTTTATTTATACTGGATAGCTCTATCAGTTTTAAACTGTTCTCCCTAGAGGTCCAGTAAGGATCATCTCTTATTGATCCAGTGTTAGTACAGGAGGAAACATAAACTAAACTAACTTTATTTATACTGGATAGCTCTATCAGTTCTAAACTGTTCTTCCTAGAGGTCCAGTAAGGATCATTTCTTTTTGATTCAGTGTCACTACAGGAGGAAACCTAAACTAAACTAACTTTATTTATACTGGATAGCTCTATCAGTTCTAAACTGTTCTTCCTAGAGGTCCAGTAAAGATCATCTCTTATTGATACAGTGTTACTACAGGAGGAAACCTAAACTAACTTTATTTATACTGGATAGCTCTATCAGTTCTAAACTGTTCTTCCTAAATAGCTATCTAGTTAAGACACTAATTAATACTAATTAACTAACTAATTCATAATTGCCTTAATTTCTCTCGTTGTTCCTTGAGCTGTTCGATCTCTCGTTCACATTCTCCCATGTTGAACCTCCACATATCGATGTCAGTTTCCAGTTTTTCCCGTTTCTTCCTTTCCTGTTGTAACTCATCACTTAACTCATTATTTCTTCGGCTTTGTATATCGATTGTCGCTTTAAGGGACGTCACTTCCGTGTCCCGCGGGGATATGGCGTCACGCGTGGGGTTTACGTCATTTCCACTTTCGCCCGAGGCGTCCTTCAGTTTTGCCGCCATAAAGTTGAGCTCTGAGGTTTGCTCGTTCATTTGGCGAATCAGGTTTCGTATTGTATCTTCTTGTTTCGAGACGAGTTCGTCCCTATAAATAAATAAATAAAGTATCGTTAAAGGGCATATGACTGGAAAATTGACGGTGTTATTTTTTAGTCTAGATCATTGAAAACTGTAGAGTAACTTCTTTGATAGATTTTTGTTTTCTTGCTTCGTTTTGAAGATATTTCATTTTGTATGATGATATGCAAAGGACCAACTTCCTACTAGCCTGCTCGCAGCCTGAAATTTAGAAGGGGAAAATTTCAGGCTGCGAGCAGGCTAACTTCCTACGTCACATATGCATAATGATTTTGCCCTAAAAGCTGTTTTTCTTTAATATGACTAAACACAATCAGTAGAAAACCTACATGGGTGTGGTTGTGGACAAATCTCGTGCTCATCATTCATTTTGAGCGAATTTATTTGATAGTGACAAAATTATATAACATTTTAAAGTAAGTCATTATGCATATGTGATGTAGAAAGTTGGTACTTTGCATATCTTACAAAATGAAATATCTTCAAAACGAAGCAAGAAAACAAAAATCTATCAAAGAAGTTACTCTACAGTTTTCAATGATCTTTCAAATTACACTAAAAAATAACACCGTCAATTTTCGAGTCATATGCCCTTTAAGCTAGGCTGGTTTAGTAGGAATTTTGCCATTCTAAGTTTTGAAGGATTTGTAAGAAAATGTTTCAGTGTTAAACATTAAGTCCGTTTCCTCAAACTTTCTTTTAGAAAATATACAGGCGAAAATCAGGAACTACCTTTTCTTGCAAAATCAGGTTATTACCTGTCCTCATCGCGTTTCTGCAGATCAGATATTTTAATATCTTTCTCAGATAAGACATTTTTAAGGAGGGAATTTTTCTTCTGGTATTTTGCCAAAGTCCATCTCAGTCTTTTGTTCTCTCGTAGTAAAGGCTCGATAAGTTCGTTGTCGCTCGACTGGTATTCGTCATCCGAGTCAGAAGACATTGTGCTGGATGCCCTCAGGGTTCACAAACGGAACCTCACGAGATATGCTTGCTGCTTCTTTGTATTTTCTGAAAAAAAGAAAGAACGACGATTGACAATGTAATACTGAACTTATTTCAGTCATACATATACTTCTCCCGTACCTGTTTGCTTATGATTTTTGCGGCGAAGCCGGTTTACTCGACTTTTAGGGACTCTTTTGAACAGTTGTGTTAGTTCTAACTAACGTTTCCTCCTGTAGTAACACTGGATCAATGAGAGATGACTTTTACAGCACCTCTAGGAAGAACAGTTTAGAACTGATAGAGCTATCCAGTATAAATAAAGTTATATGAATACAATTATCATTAATGTTGCTATGTTAAATTATAAAGCAACAGGTTGATTCAGTATTTAGCATAATCTTTGATACCGCATTTTGACTGTAAATCTTCAAGCATTTTACAGTCCCGTCTTACTTTGCTTCTCTTTGTAGAAAGTGCGACGTTTCTAAGTGTCGCTCCGTAAGCTTAGACCATCTACGAAACAAGGTCGCTAACCCAAAATTTGCTTCCCGGGAAGCCAAAATATTTTCAATAACATCAGAAACATATTTTTCCCAAGAGCGATTTTTCTTCAAATAATGTTTCCTGCTTTGTCCACCTTTGTCCTAGGAAACAATTTTTCAGGCTTGGTTTGCTCATCTTTGGGAAAAAACAACAACAAAACAATGTTTCTTAGTTTGTCCACCTTCGGGAAACATGGCTACGAAACAATGCTGAGTCTGCAAAGTCTCCCATTTTGCTTAAAACTTAAGTTCAACAACGAATTACAAGTCGAGTCAATCTCACATTTTAATATTCTTTCTCAGGAATTGTACCAGCAAAGACATGGCAAGCAGAAATTGTTGTTGTATGCAATTGAAAGACACAGACTATTAAGATAAGTTTGCACTAAAGGATCTATTTCGTATTTATATGTTGATGAGAGTGAAGCGCGGTTCTCGCTCTCAACAGAACAACATACCTTTATAAATAATCCCGCGTTTGCCTTGTCTTTATTCTGCCATATTTAACATGTTGAGCAGTGATTTTGCGGTCGTTTGCGTGTACGCGCGTTCAGGATAAAAAGACGTGAATAATTAATGAGCGTCCTTCTGTGGTTCACTGAAGTTCAATTCCTACTGACGAAGTCGGCTTCATTCTACAATAAGCTGCCGTCGTTTGTGTCTCTACTATCCGAAAATTAGGATTTAAACGTTTAATGTACTACAGACACTAACAACAACAGCTTATAAATGAATGTTTTCATGTATTTTAAATAATGAATTAAATAAATTTGTACACTTCAGATGATAGCGTATGTATGTACTTTTATAACGTAAACATTGTAAGGTATTACTGTTTTATTTTAATTATTCTTTGCACATCTTTCAATCCTTTCTATTCTTTGCATTCTTTCTGTTCCCATCCTTTCTGACAAACAGACGGACAAACAGACATAGAGGGGACAAACAGACGGACAAACAGACATGAGGGGATAAACAAACGGACAAACAGACATAGAGGGGACAAACAGACGGACAAACAGACAGGGGATAAACAGACGGACAAACAGACATAAAGGGGATAAACAGACGGACAAACAGACATAGAGGGGATAAACAGACGGACAAACAGACATAGAGGGGATAAACAGATGGACAAACAGACATAGAGGGGACAAACAGACGGACAGACAGCCATAGAGAGGATAAACAGACGGACAAACAGACATAAAGGGGGTAAACAGATGGACAAACCGACATAGAGGGGATAAACAGACAGACAAATAGACATAGAGGGGACAAACAGACAGACATAGAGGGGACAAACAGACAGACATAGAGGGGACAGACAGACAGACAGACAGACAGACAGACAGACAGACAGACAGACAGACAGACAGACAGACAGACAGACAGACAGACAGACAGACAGACAGACAGGGGATAAACAGACGGACAAACAGACATAAAGGGGATAAACAGGCGGACAAACAGACATAGAGGGGACAAACAGACAGACAAACAAACAGACATAGAGGGGATAAACAGACAAACAAACAGACATAGAGGGGATAAACAGACGGACAAACAGACATAGAGGGGACAAACAGACAGACAAACAGATATAAAGAGAATAAACAGACGGACAAACAGACATCAAGAGAATAAACAGACAGACAAAAGAACAAACAGACATAAGGAAGACAAACAGACGGACAAACAGATTCAGACAGACGGACAAACAGACATACGAACAGACTTTAGTGGGCAAACAAACGGACAAACAGACATTTTTATAGTCGTTACATGAAGTAATGCAATTGTAATCAAAATAAACATGGCGACCAATTCATTATCACCGTTTATATGCAGAAAATATTTAATATTTACGTTATTTTTGGGCAATATTTTATCACAAAATCATGCTGAAAATGAGCTAAAACAGCGAATAAACATTATACTTGTGGGTGGAACCGGTGATCTGGCAAAACGGTATCTATGGAATGGATTTTTTAACCTTTATTCATCTTTGCATAACACTAATTCTGGTGACTCAGTACTTCGCTTTTATGGCGGTGCTCGCGAGGACAACGAAACGGGAAATAGAATACTCTTGGATATTTTAAACACGTCAATTAAATGCTCAAATGTTAAATGCAATAAAATGAAAGCTGAATTTATTAAACGCTGTAGTTATCACAGATTAAAAATCACAGAAGACTATGAAAGTCTTCAAAAATTATTGGAAACTAGTTTAACGAACAAGGAAACCGAGATTGGTCGTATTTTTTATCTTTCTGTTCCGCCTTTTGCTTATGAAAAAATTAGCAGGAACATTGCCGAGAAATGTCGACCAAACTCACTCCGTGCATGGGTTCGGGTTGTGCTGGAGAAGCCGTTTGGAAGCGATCTTAAGACTGCAAACGAGCTAGCTGAAAAATTGTCGAAATACTGGAACGAAGATGAGATATATCGCATTGATCATTATTTAGGAAAGGCTGGCGTGGTGCAAATTATGGAATTTAAAAAAGAAAACCTTGATTTTTTTGAAAAAATGTGGAATCGCGAACATATTGAACAAGTGAATATTGTCGTGAAAGAACGCTTAGATGCACAGGGTAGGCTGGGTTTCTATGATCAGTACGGAGTCATCCGAGATATTTTTCAGAATCATTTGACTGAGATTCTCAGCTTGGTTGCTTCGGAAATGTCTGAACACAATTCTGAAAAACCGTGTCAAGATTCTGTGAAACAGCTTGAAAATTTTGAGAAATTGATCAGAAATTCTGAGAAGCCACTTGGAAATTCTGAAAAATTGCTTGAGAATTCTGAGAAATTATTTGAATCTTCTGAAAAACTGCTTGAAAATTCTCAGAAACTGCTTGAGAACTCTGAGAAACTACTTCAAAATTCTGAAAAATTACTTGAGAAACAGCAACAAAATTCTGGGAAACCTGCTCAGAACTTTGAGAAGCATTTTACTGATTCTGAAATACTAAGTGACATTTCTGGGAAAGAGACACCTCTTAGGACTTTTGATAAACTAGCTGAAAATGAGGAGACACCTATTGGGGATTCTAAGAAACCATTTCAAAATTCTAAGAAATCTACATTGTTGAGAGCTGTGAAAACAGTTACAATACATGATGCTGTATTTGGACAATATGAAGAATACAATAAACAACTCAAGCAAGAGCTTCCAAATATTGAAGCCAATAGTAACACGCCAACATTTTCGGCAGTCGTCATGGAAATCCAAAACAAACGCTGGTCCGGTGTGCCGTTTGTCCTGCTTTCTGGCAAAAGGTTGGACAGCAGACTTGCTTACGTACAGCTAGAATTCAAACAGAATAAATTCTGTATAAAGGGTAACTTGAATAATAATCCTGAAAATTGTAAACCAAGAGAGCTTACATTTTATATTCAAGGCGAAAATGTCCATTATCCATTAACAATATTCTCAAAAAAACTACCTTATGTTAAATTTTCTAACAACTGGCAGAATCTAACCCTTGATTCTGAACTCAAATCTCAGTTCAAGGGTGAAAACATAATTATGAAACCACCGAATACTGAACACGATGCTTACAGTTCGTTAATCTGTGACGTTTTTCTTGGAAATAAAGACAAATTTGTGAATGTTGACGATTTGCTGCTATCATGGAAAATTTGGAACCCTTTGCTTGAAGCGTCTGCGTTGATTCAACCACAGTTATATACTCGAGAGAACATGAATATTTTAGATTTTGAAATTGTTGATGGAAAAATTAGATTTGTGTCAGGGTCTGCAAGTGACTGTGAAACGTCAGGACCTACAAAATATGACGATGGTCAATTGCATAGTTTCCGTGGCAACAGACTTGTTTCGGGACTTTCAATGGATGTTGTTCGACAACTTGCAAATGATATAGCTGTTGCCATTCATGCAAAAGTGCAGTCCAGTGCGGCAACATTTCATTTGGCTTTATCCGGTGGTTCAACTTCAAAGCATCTTTTCCAAGTGTTGGCTTCAATTAAATATATTCCTTGGAAAAACGTGCACATATGGTTGGTCGATGAACGATGTGTAAGTTTGACGCATGAGGATTCAAATTTTAAAAATATGTATCAACACTTGTTAAAAGATATCTCGATTCCATATTTCAACATCCATCCTATGCCTGTCGATATCGCTGGGCAATTTTGTAAGCCTAACGACTTAGGGGACAAGCATTATGAGAGGCAATTAAGATACCTCGTTAATGGCTCGTTAGACTTTGTTGTATTAGGCGTTGGTAACGACGGTCATACTGCATCTTTGTTTCCTGGAAGTGACTTGTTAACGAGTACTAATTGGGTTGAGATAACGAGCTCGTTAGGAAATTATAATAGGATGACAATGACTCTGCGGATATTGAACCAGGCCAGAAACATCGCAGTGCTTATACTGGGGGAGAAGAAACATGAAATTGTTCAGAAGTTAGCGCAAACTGGTAACGATATTCATGATTTTCCAATAACTGCAGTAAAGCCAGAGCATGGTTCGTTAGTGTGGTACATAGATGATAATGCATTGCATTATGCAACGTTGGTCACGCTGTAAATTTGTTTGATTACTAATACAGTAGAACGGCAAACTTTCCGCTAACTTCTCACTTGAAGTAAATCCAATTCCCCCTTGATTTGACTCATTTGTTACAGCAATTGACTATGGTTAACTCGAACTTGCATCCAGTCAAACCGGATGTTCTCCTGCAAGCAACATTGCAATATTGTCGTGCAATATTGCAATTTTGATAGCCAGATTGCTCTGAGCAATTTGCAACCGACACGAACAAGTTGCAAGTTGAAATTCACAAAAGATTTGTAAACAAAGCCTCTGATTGGACTACAAGAAAGGGGGAAGCGCCAATCCAGTTGCTCAGACTATTTGATTGGCTTCCCTCTTTCTTATCTTATAATCCAATCGGAGGCTTTGTTTACAAATCTTTTGTGAATTTCAACTTGCAATTTGTTTGGGTCGGTTGCAAATTGCTCAGAGCAATCTGGCTATCAAAATTGCAATATTGTGGGACAATATGTCAATATTCAATGCAATGTTGCTCGCAAGAGAACATCCGGTTTGACTGTAACCTGAACAAATTTCGCTTTCCCTTGGACCCTTGGTCAAATTTGCCCTGCAAAACACTGTACCAATTTCATAGAGACGTAATATATGCTAATATATACACAACACGTGTTCATCACCAGTCTTCGTGGCATAATTTGGCCCCCGGCCACGTGTAACGTGGCTGATAAGTGACACAAATATTGACGGAAACAAATCAAGTGTGACTTTTAGCGATAAGCTGATAACGCATTTGTCCTCGTTTTAAACTGTTCCAGAGGTTGTTTAAAGAGAAATAATGGCTTTCCTAGTTGTTTTACAGTGCTTTGCTGTAGTCGTTTCGTGTGTACACGGTCTTGTTCCAAACGAAATCGTAATTGAAACAGAGCATAAAATTGTTGTCCGCAGTACACCGTCACTTGATCCAGCCGAAGAACTTCTGGAGAAATTTGGGAATGAAAATCAAATGAATCTTACAGATATGGAGTCGTTGTTTCAGAGCATTGGTTTGGCAGTTTTAAACGAGAAAGACAAACAAGGGAAAAGCCCTGATGCACAGGTATATTGCCGTTTTTAAGAGTTGTAAATTTTAAAGAGTTCGTGGCCTCTATTGGGGGCTGTATTAAATGTTTGCTATTACGTAGCTATAATGTTCAGTGTGTACAATTTGCTATATAAATGTTCAGTATCTGAAGTTACTCATTGAAAATACAAACAAAGTTTGTATATTTCCAAGCACATTAGGTTGGGCGAATAAAGGTGAATGACTTTTATTTCAAAGCTGCATATTTGTTTATGATAGCTGCGGTGCTGGTATTGACTATTGACCTTGTGACCTGTATACAGTATTTGACGCTATCAAGACTTTTATCTTGAACAAGAATAATTGGTGTTGAACACAATACTATAGCAAGGACAGCTCGCACATTGAGGGTTCGCAAAAGGCAGATAGTTCACTCATTGATGCCGAATAGTTTTGATAGGTGAAATACATTTGTCTGGTGTTAGACAGAGTGCGTCAAGTGTTTGAGGGAGTTGTGTGAAGTGTTTATACATGTACAATATTTCCGAGTGTTGTAATTAGTCTCAGTGGTTGGTTTTGTGAGTTCCTGTTGAAACACCTAGAAAATAGTTGATCAGTGGGGTGTAGTGATCTCATTGGGCATGATTCCAGAAAACACCCATGTACCCGCCCCCTCACACTTAGTCACTTACTATATTATCAGAAACTAATTTTTCTCTCCTCCCCCTCCAGATGGCAGAAATTTTCTCCGTTGGGGGGGGGGCAAATCTTTGACGGCACGTTTTCTATTATTTTGAAAGCTTTGGATTGATAGGGACGTTTTCTATTATTTTCTATTTCTTCCAAATGCGATGAAAAATTGTCAGCTCTGCTACGCTGCCATTTTTGGGTGGCTTTCCAGCCGAAGTCTGCGAGATAAGTCCACAATGACATAACAGCGACTTTATAATTTTTTTGACAAATGATGGTAAATTTGCTTTGTAAATGGTTAGTTTATTTTGAAGATGCTTTTCACATTGTTTTAATTGTCTGCATTGGTTAACGAGAATTAGATGCCACCCGAAAATGGTGGATATTCGTCATCGTTAGAAAGGCCAATTGTGCCATGTTATCTATTTAGGCATGTTTTACAAGCCAACATTTTTATGGCATGTACTCCAGAAATGACGGCAACATCAACAAGACTGATCTGATGGCACTGTGTCCTGCTGTATTGTATCAGATGACAAAACAGCAATGTCATGCCGAGGAGAAGAAGGTCGTCGACGACGAGGAGGACACTGGCAAAGAGAACCCTACCAGAGGTAGAAACTTGCAAAACGTTTGCATCTGAAATGATAGCTTGTTGTGTGTCATATTATCAAATGCACTTTGCATTAAGTATTATGCATGTACCTAATTACTTACTGAACCTAGTAGACTATTTTATCTTTACAACAGTTGTGATATTACTTTCTTAACTGAGTTTATCCTAAGGCGTAAAAAAAATACCTGTGGCTCCGGTTCCCGACCGACCCTATTTTTTTCTGCTGACCCTGTTATTTTTCAACGGCTATATTTCCGACCTACCGACCCTAATTTTTTAACAATATGAAACCGGAACCACAGGTATCTGACGACAAAGTGTTTCTACCATTGTATATTTTTATTCTACCGTATATCATCACATTATTTTATCTAAACGTAATATTTTTAGCATGGGGATATGGATTTCTGTTTGTCACCATCATCAGTCTTGGTTCATTGATTGGTGCTTTTGTTGTCCCGCTGATGGACAAACCATTCTACAAGAAGACGTTAATGTGCATGGTATCACTGGCTGTTGGTGTTCTCGGTGGCAGTGGCGTGTTTCATCTGATTCCAAGTGTAAGACAACTTTAAATTATCCATAATTTACCGTAACCGTAGAGTTGGTGAACATAATGTACTTAGTGTTTTTAAGGCAGAAATTTTAGGGCACCTGTTGAGAAGTGCCCAACTTTGCAGTCTGGACTGTAACAGATAAAATCATTGTCATTTCACCACAAAAGCAATGTACTTATATTTATCATTTATTCTTTAGGCATTGGGTTTTCCATTCGATGATGATGATCACAGTTATCTGTGGAAATGTTGCATGGTATTTCTAGGATTATATATATTCTTTGTTCTTGAGTGTACCATGAAACTGTATATCAGATTTAAAGAAATGGACAAAAAAGAGGTAAACTAACTTTATTTATACTGGATAGCTCTAGATCAGTTCTAAACTGTTCTTCTTGGAGATCCAGTAAGGATCATCTCTTATTGAACCTGTGTTACTACAAGAGGAAACCTAAACTAAACTAACTTTATTTATACTGGATAACCCTATCAGTTCTAAACTGTTCTCCCTGGAGGTCCAGTAAGAGTCATCTCTTATTGATCCAGTGTACTTAGTATACCTAATGTTAAAAACTCTTGTTTGCTGGAGTCAAATTTATAATTAACGCTTTAGTGGCAATGTGCCTGTCTTATGCCAAACGATTTTACTCATCAAGGAGAAAGTGCTGGCATTCAATGGGTTAATGTTTCTTTCAGCGTGCTACATTAGCCATGGTTGCCTCTGATGAAAAACCTGCGACAAACGGTGGTGAAGTACATTCTATTGGTATAGCCGACAGCCACACTCATAATGGTCATGGACACAGTCATAATGGAGGGCCGACATTTCCTATTGTTGTTGTTAAAAACAACGCCACCATTGACAGTAAAACTGAACTAACTAGTGAAAACAGTCGAACAGATCTGACCAATGAGAATGCTTCAACAGAACAAATCAATGTTTCTGAGAAGCATTCTGAGAAGCGAGCGATTGCAACAGTTGCTTGGATGATTATCATTGGAGACGGCCTACACAACTTTATTGATGGTCTGGCAATTGGAGCATCGTTTAGTGGTTCAGTTGTTATAGGGATCAGTACTTCGTTAGCTGTGATTTGTGAAGAACTGCCGCATGAGTTAGGTAAAGCAGTCTATGATAATTCCCTGCTACTCCAAGACTATTAATCCAGTGTGCCCTACTTATTTTTTTTACTTGTCTATTTATGCCAGATGACCAGCTCTGCAGCTTAATGGTTAACCAAAAAATCTGACAATGTCCCTAGTTAACCCATTGAGCCCCAGTGCGCTATACATATTTTTTTTACTTGTCTAACGCCAGACAATTTTACTCCTCAATGGTTTACAAATTAAATTAGCACTCGTGTAAACCCAAAATATTTCAAATAGAGCAAAGAAATTTCAACAAAAAGCATTTGAATTTACTGTTTTGAGACATGAGATTTTTGGTTTACAAACGGTACAAAAAATAAGGCTTTGTGTTCAAACGAAACTGCCAAGCGCTCCGTTTTCATCTTGCTTCGTTTAGAAACCATGCTCAATTGTTATGTCAAACGTTTTCAAACAATTTTCATTGCTTTTATGTTTCCAGGTGACTTTGCAATCCTGCTAAACTCTGGTCTAACATACAAGCAAGCCATGTTGGCCAACTTCCTGTCAGCATGTTCTTGTTATGTTGGGCTGGCGATTGGTCTGGTGTTGGGATATGCCACTCATGCTGTCAAGTATATATATGGCATTGCTGGAGGAATGTTTTTGTATATATCTTTAGTTGACATGGTAAGTACAGATTCAATTAATATTGTAGAGATCTTAAATGTGGTGGTCCAGTGTAGGTAGTATTCTACAATTAGCTGCCGTGGTTTGTGTCTGAACTACCTGAAAAAGGTATCTCAAACGTGGTGGTCCAGTGTAGGTATGTATTAGTACATTCTACAATTAGCTGCCGTGATTTGTGTCTGAACTACCTGAAAAGATATTTCAAACATGGTGGTTCAGTGCAGGTAGTATTATTCTACAATAAGCTGCATGCCGTGGTTTATTAGTGTGAACTACCTGAAAAAGATATTTCAAACGTGGTGGTCCAGTGTATGTAGTATTCTACAATAAGCTGTCGTGGTTTGTGTCTGAACTACCTGAAAAGATATCTCAAACGTGGTGGTTCAGTGTAGATAGTATTCTACAATAAGCTGTCGTGGTTTGTGTCTGAACTACCTGAAAAAGATATCTCAAACGTGGTGGTCCAGTGTAGGTAGTATTCTACAATAAGCTGCCATAGTTTGTTTATGAATTATGTGAAAAAGACAACATGGTTGTCATTATTGCTATAGCCTGCGTGGCAGGCGGTATTTCAACAGGCAGTGAAAATTAGGATAACTTTTTTAGTGTAGTGACTTTTTTGTGTAGTCAGACTTTATTTTAGAGTGTAATTGATTATTTAATTTAATATTTAGCACAGCTCCTCCATTGATAATTATTAACATTATGTTTTTAATATATATTATATACTGAAGGAGTATACCTGTTAAAATATTGTTAATAATAATAATGAAATCAAATTTATTTCTTCTAGTTACCAGAAGCTCTAGAGATGGCATATTTATTGAGTGGAAATTCAAAATCCAAGTCAATCAAAATGTTGTGTATGGTAAATTTAGCTATAATTTTTGGATTCTGTGTCATGCTTGTGATTGCGTTGTATGGAACCTCCATAGAGTTGTAAGCTAGCTTACTGCTGAAAGGTGGGAAGACCTCCACGCACATCTATTCAGTCAGGGTATCACAGATCTGTGCATTGATGATTTACATCCACTCCATCAGGCTATCACAGATTGTAGATCTGTGCATTGATGATTTTTGTAAAATTTTTTAGTTTTGTAAACTAAGTTTTTGCCAAGTGAACCTAGTGAACTCATTTTATGATGCTAGATAATTTATTGCAAAGTTTGTGCTATATTTAAATGCTGTATTTTCTGTCAGTAAAAATGAAATGTGTGTTTGTAATCTGTGTTTGGTTTAGTCCATTAGATCTGCAGCCAACTTTATTATTTTACCATTCAGTGATCAGACTGTTCCATATATATTAATTAGATGTAATATAACAAATGTGCTACAATGTGACGCCATAGGTTTAAGTAGTTAATATGTATGGATTGTGTAAAATGGTATCTCAGTTATGTGACATGTAATTTGTTGTTCTGTTTGATCATGTAGAGATAGATGTATTCAGTTAGTTTTTTATTTATTATATATTGTAGTTAGTTTCATGTGCTCAACCACATCCGCTATGCTGTAAATTTACTATCGTGTTTAAATAAATGCTTTTATTATTATTTTTTCCCATTGTCTTTCCATTGTTTTGAAAATCCCACTGTCCTCCATGCCATCCAGTTATCATGAAATGCTTTGCCATATAAATGATATATTAAAGACAAATGCAGGCCTGTATTATGACAATATTTCAATTTTATTTATTACAAAATAAGTATGAAACCATTATAGACTTAAAGAATTATTAATAACTATTTACAATTTGATAATATAAAAAATAGATGTAGATTGATTATTTTCCATGCATTGAAAATAGATGATCACCATAATACTGTGATGAGAGATCTCTTTCACTTTTTGTAGACTTGACAGGTGTTTGCTTCAATTGCGATTTTTGTCTAGTCTTAGTGTGTGAAGGTGATCTAAAGAAAATATATATTAAGTGATGAAGAACAACAGGTAAACACACAGTTTGATACATCAAGCCCCTCTAAGCGTAATTCAATGTTTTCATTTAAAACACATACCTAGTTTTAACAGGTGATTTAAAAATGACTTTTTCTTCCAATTTTATACGCTGCTCAACATCAGAAGGTCGATGTTTTTGGTCATATTCCTGTTGTGCTTTTTGCTTCACACAAAAAGAACACTTTATTTCACCCTTAACTAAAAACAAAATTGACGATTACATTTCTCATCTACGAAGGGTAATTTAAAGCACAGCCACCATTTAACAGTTGATGAATGGTGAACTGTCAGACACACCCAAGTTCATCTACTGTGGCGATTAAGTTATCAGCTTTGCAGATCTATGATCTGTTTGGCATGTTTATATATATACACAGACAAACAAACTTTTCTTTGCCCAAGTTTGCCCAGATAGTTAATCCATCTCTAGTATAAATGGCTGCAACAATACCTGCTTTCTGGTTGGCTAAAGTGTGACCATGTTTTCTGGACAATATATCTGGTGTGTGACCTTGATTGTTTGTGATGGTGATATCAGAACCATGCTTGATTAGACAGTTCATGGCTGGCATGTGACCTGATGCTGCACAGTGTGCTGGTGTGTTGCCTGCATCTGAAGGAAAAATTATTAATAAAATCGACTAACGAACTTTGTTTATACAATTATACCAGATACACCCTGCTATTGTATTGATAGAGAATTACCATCTGTTGAACTGGCATCTGCACCTTGCTCCAGTAACCAATGCAGACACTCTGTTGATCCTTTCTGGGCAGCCTAGAACAGGCAAATCATAGTTTAGCTAGCCTGTAGTATTAGCTCATTGTACAACTTGCAAAAAGTCTGTTGAGCTCAATAACAAGCTGGGAACAAGCAGTGCGAATACATCGTGTTGACAAGTTGTTGGAATCACATTGCTACAAGTCTGCTGCAGGTTTGTCACAACTTTTTACATGTGTAAACATACTAAAAACTTCTCGACATAAATCTTACATAATGAGCACTTGTCTTCCCACTTTTATCTCTCTTGCCCAAAGCAATCCCAACTTTAGTAAGAAATTTCAGACACTCCAAGTGACCAGCTGCGGCCGCATGGTGTGCGGGCGTTGCACCATTCTCATCTGTCACCATCAAGTCCACCTTGTATTTCTTGAACACTTTGAGACAACTTATACTGCCGTAGATTGCAGCATAGTGTACTGAGGTCCTGCCTTGCTTGTCTGCTTTGAATATGTCCATTTTACCTGTGTCTAAAAGACACCTGAAAAGCAGACGGTTGACTGACTGAACAAACTTTATTTATACTGGATAGCTCTATCAGTTCTGAACTGTTCTTCCTAGAGGTCCAGTAAGAAACATCTCTTATTGATCCAGTGTTACTACAGGAGGAAACCTAAACTAAACTAATTTTATTTATATTGGATAGCTCTATCAGAGTTCTAAACTGTTCTCGCTAGAGGTCCAGTAAGGATCATCTCTTGTTGATCCAGTGTTACTACAGGAGGAAAACTAAACTAACTTTATTTATACTGGATAGCTCTATCAGTTCTAAACTGTTCCTCCTAGAGGTCCAGTAATTATAGGGTCTGCATCCCTTAATGGACGATCAAACAAGCTGCTCTGCATATATTGCAGAAATCAAACCTCGGTCACAGAGATGGAAGACAAGTTTTACTTACTGTAGTGTTTCAGGGTAGTTTTTCTTGACAGCAAGGTGAGCTGGCAAACACATTTGATTATCTTGATAATTTATATCACAACCATTGTCAATAAGAGCATTCAAACATCCTGTTTCCCCATGATATGCTGCAATGTGTGCCGCAGTCTGTCCGTGACTGTCGGGATGATCCAAATCTTTGGTATACTGTACCAGCTGTAGCAAGGTTTCGAGATGGCCGCCTGTGCATGCTTCGTGCAATGCTGTACGTTGGACGCTACTGGCTTTGTCAGGACTGGCACCAGCCTACATCATTAAACTCATTAACTTAATAAAACTGAAGTGGATTTCTCTTCAGAAAAATTCTTTCAGATCTCTCCGAGAGAATTTGAAATTTTTTTTCAAAAAAAAATTTGAAGAAAAAAAATTTCAGATTTCTCTAGGAAATGACAACTGCCTCTAATCGATTCAGATGACAATAATCCCATTTGACATTATTTGTCATTACAATATCCACTAACCTTTAACAATAATTGAACGACCTGTGTATGGCCGTAAGCCGATGCTTTATGAAGAGCTGTTCTCAGAGCTCTGTGTCCAGCAATCAATGCATTTAAATCTGCTCTGCCTTCAGCTAGAATATTTTTCACTTCAGACACATTTCCACTATCACAAGCTGCGTGTAAAGCTAGAGTTGATTGACTATGTCTCTCTTCAGTAAAACCTGATGCTTGGTCGTGTATTGATAATTTTGATAGTTTTTCAAGTTCTGATATTTCAGCCATTTGCCTTTTGAAAGGTGTCAATACTTCACAAAATTACCAGTTTAAAATTAACATTTCAAATTAAAGATTTCCTTTCTTTTGGATTATTTCAAATCTTCGTAACATAGCAACGAAAACGACATGGGCGATTATTAAACAATCGTTACTTGATATTAAAATCCAATAATTTACATGTGGAAATCCAAATTGTATATTAAAACCTTGTTATTAACACTATCTGTAAAACAAATATTACTGTAGGTACAAATTAGGCAAAATTATTGGCGAAAATCTGTTTAGAAACCTCAATTTGTTTAAAAAAGTTGCAAAATATTATGTTTGTATATACGAACTTTGTCCTCGGAATTTCGTCCCCTCGTAGTGATTCTGATCTCTGATTTGACTGGAGTGTGGCGACTTTGATCTCTAAAACTGGAGTTTGTTCCTTCTGATCTTTGGTCTCTATACAAAACTGGACGGCTGCCCTGATCTATAATATTAAACTGGATTGACAAGCCGTACGTCGTTTTTATCGCGTATTTTGACGTGGCAAGAAACCAAAACAAAAAAAGATGTCTGCGAGCGAACCTCCCTCTCCAAGCAGCAACGGTTTCGATGAATGGCAAAGTATTGATGAAAGAAATGGCTCTGACAAAAGTTCCAACAGTGGCAGTCAGAATTCATCTAGTTGGTATTTAGTTCAGGTGAGTTTTAGCTTGCTAGCTCGCGTTGTATTTTGTATTTTCGATGTATTAATTACAAGTATAATTACAGTTAAATTAATACCAAATACTTAGAATATTATAGTTTGAATGTTAGTTTACACGTATGGCGTTGTGTACAGTATAATTTGTACTTTGATAAGCAAGTTTTACACTAGCGAAGGTGGACAATGCCATAAATATTCAAATTGATAGAATGAAACAAATAGTTAATTGACTATAAAATATATTCTATATTTAAAATACAAACGTAAAAACGCACATTTTCTAAGAAAACCTTCAAGTAGAGCTGTAGCAATGCTGTTCCAACAACTTGTCAACAGGATGTGTTCGCACTGCTTGTTCCCAGCTAGTTGACAAGATGTCGACGGCTTGTTGACAACTTGCTACAAGGTTGTTGAGCTCAACAGATTTGTTACAAGTTGTTGTTATCGCCCTGCAATTCAAGAATTTGTCAACAAGTTGTGAGTGACAACCTTGTAGCAACTTGATGAAATAACAGCATTGTTACAACTTGTTGACAAGCTTGCTACAAGCCTGTTGCGAACACATCTTATTGAAACGATATGAGATTTTTATGTGATTGTTTTTATGCCAATCAATGGGTTGAATACAAGTCAATTCTTCTTGTTCAGGACTCGTCGTCAGTGGTGGATATGGCCGAGACAGATGAACTTCAGTCAGAGACCATCATTGACATTGAAAGGTACATATAGACAATCTCAAAGATTTGATGTCTCAGGGCCTGTAATTTATATGACCCCAGATGGTCACAAAACTCTTTACATGGCATTGCAATCTAACGTGCCCCACTTTATCACGGCCTAACTATACATGTGACAATAGACTTTTCCCCTTTTGAGTGAAATTCTGATCTGGAGAAGTCTGGACAAAAATTTCATCACAGCTTGAAAGAGCATCACAAAATTAGTGATATTCCGAAGTTTCGTTGCAAAATGTTGTAAAATGTGGATAATATAGCCCTGCGAAGTTTGCCGTTTTTCAGTCATTTTGTATTACGCACGGGAAATTGATACCTTTTTTCAGAAAGCGGTATCAATCTCCCGTGCGTAGTACAAAATGACTGAAAAACGGCAAACTTTGCAGTGCTATTATCTGCATTTTACAACATTTCGTAATGAAACTTTCAAGCCGTGATGAAATTTTTGTCCAGATCAAAATTTTGTTCATTAGGTAATAGGTCCATTCACCTACTTTTTATCATGCTCTAACTATATACATGTGACAATTAACATTTGTTTCTGTATTAATTATGGTTTAATGAGTTTTAACGATGATATTTAGTTCGGATGATCAAGCTCGTCCACATTCAGCGATGTCAGAAAATGAATTCATTAACAGAATGCGGGAACACATGGCTGAGGAAGTCGGAGGATATGTATGTTCACAATGTTAATTTTAATTTTTTTTTAAAATTTAACAATGTTTGAAATATTTACTAAATAGTATATTTATGTACATATTTAATAAGGAGAAAATGTTCTCGAGTGAGATATATCATGATTTCCAGACAGCACAGTAGAAAACTTTCCCTACCACGGCTGTATTTCGAACCCACGACCTTCGAAATACTTGATCCACGCTCTACCAACTGAGCTACACTGGAAATTATGAACTATATACTGAATGTCATAAACATACTTGTTTATATTAATTCGGTTAGTTAACTAGTATTGTTCGATGCTGAATTAATAATATAAACGAGTATGTTTATGACCTCTATCTGTTTGTTTGTCTGTCTGTTTGCTCAGGGGTAGATAGATTTGGAAAGCCAGCAATAGCAGCATTTTATTTCATTGATTATATCAACTTTTACTTGTGTAGGTTTGGAATGCTAGTAAACAAACAGCAAAGAGAGCGTTTGATCTGTATGCAAATATTGACATTCTACGACCTTACTTTCATGTGGAACCTCACGAAGTGCGAGAAAGGTAAATATATATTCGACTTTCCACTTACAAGCGATAAAATCTTGAACGGTTTGTACCAGTGTAGGTATAGAATTAAATACAAACTGCAGAGTTTTGTAGGAAATATAACTAGAAGGCCCTTTGTCACGCTACGCTGTTTTTCAGATATCTCCAATAGCTGTTATATCATTGATTTTTTCTTTTAGGTTAATCACCTCAATGATGCCACAAGTACCAAAACAGACTTCGCCTGTGGTAAGATTTAAATCTAAATTCAAAAGTAGTCTTCCATAGAACAGATGGGCGGTTGCCTGATTGGACGGCCGCCTCAGTCGTAACAACATTCGTTTCTTGCAGACCGTGAATGGTGAGCTGTATGGTCCGTTGATGTTGGTTCTAACTCTCATTGCAATCCTTCTATTTTCAATGAAATCTTCTGGTCACACGGTGGTGAGTTGCATTGTTTGAAATGTTGCACAACTCAATAATAAAGGAACAAATAAATGAAGACGACCATACGATTTAATTAACATATTTATACATTTCATTCTAGCAAGAGGGAACGCTCATTGGAACAGCTTTTGTCGTGTGCTTTGGTTATTGGTTGGGAGCTTCGTGTATTTTTAAACTTGTCGCTCATGTTTGCAACACGCATCTGACGACACTGCAAATCTTCTCTCTCACGGTAAGAAGAATGTTGGGATAGTAGCGTTGCAGACTGCAGGGGAGAGTGGGCAGTAAGGCTTTGAGGGAACACCACCTCATGGAAACCATGCACCCCTCCTTACAGACGAGGCTAGATTCGTCCTTGTTAGCCGTATTTATACACAGAAGAATCGACCAATCCAATATTAATCAAAATTTTGAACTCAACAAGTCTAGGCAAAATTTTCATCACAGCTTAAAAGAGCATCACAAAATTAGCAATATTCCAAAGTTTCGTTGCAAAATGTTGTAAAATGCGGATAATATAGCCTTGCGAAGTTTGCCGTTTTTCAGTTATTTTGTATTACAAACGGGAAATGGTTACCACTTCCATGCGTAATACAAAATGACTGAAAATTACAAATTTTGCAAGGCTATATTATCCGCATTTTGCAACGAAACTTTGGAATATTACTAATTTTGTGATGCTCTTTCATGCTGTGATGAAATTTTGTCTAGACTTGTTGAGATCCAAATTTTGGTTAATTGGGGATTGGGTCCATTATTGAACTCAAACATCATTCTCAATTTAGCCTGCGAACAGGCTCTCAAGCTGAATTGAGAGCCTGCATCGATGACTAATGAATTTGAATATCTGCATCTCAAATCGTGACGCGAAATTGTCATTGGTCAGATGCTATAATTTATATGTTTCCGCTGAGCTCTATATATGTCAACTGCTGAAGCACTATGCATAA